TCTATTCAGTGGACAATGTCTGCCAAATCAGAAACAGGATAGGGGTTGCAATTGTAAGCGCGGAGACATACATTAATGGCATACCACGCACAATGGCCTCGCTGTAGCAGATGGAGGTTTATTTAATTCTGCAGATTGCATGGCAGGGGGGAGGTTCATTCCGGTCTTGACTGTTTGTGTCAGGTTCTTCCGGCTGTATTAACTTCATTGGCTCCAGCATGAGTTCCAGAAGGAGATCATCTCCAGGTGGAGCCTCCATCAAGTCATCAGAAGGTGGATCATTGTCAGTTGGAGCGGGGGAGCGATCGGGGCTAGGTGGATGAGAAGCAGGTGGGTCAGCCGCAGGAAGCGGAAGCTGATCAGCCGCACTTGTGCTCAGAGTGGCTGCTAGTCATGCAAATGCTGCTCACCTCGTATGTGGTGTGCACGCAGGCCTGCAGCACTGATCATCACCACATTTGGGCATCGAACTCAGTACGTACTATTCCTGGCTGGTGTGTATTTACTATTTAGAGCAATGGCATCGTTCCGTACGGTTGCGTGCATGGTGTTGGAGTAGAGCTCTGACCCCCGCTGGGGACACGGTGATCATGCTGTTCGAGTACAAACGAGGCCACTGTCTAGGAGGCGGCGGTGGAGACGGGGAACGTCTCCGCCGAAGAGGCCTCTGTGATGGCCGACATGACCGTGATTGCCTCCGCCGATGAGGCCTCTGTGATGGCTGATCTGACCTTGAATGTGTTGATGATGAGGATGATGGCGAAAGGGAGGCATGCGATGGATGGGAGGAGGAGGAAGAAGAGGGAGGAAATGAGAAAGATGAGGAAAAAGAGGAGGCAGTTGATGGAGAGGATGACTCTGTTAAAGATGTGGGTGGAGGAGCTGGTGGTGACGGTGGTGGTGGTGCTGCTGATGGTGGTGGTGGCGGCGGTGGAGGAGAAGGCACACTTTCAGTAGCAGCCGCCTGATTGGTAGGATGCAGGCCATCATGCCCTGCAGCCACTACGAAATCGTTTACATTGTCTGTTTCAGCTTGCCTGGTCTCTGGCTTAGTTGCAGTATCCACATTAGTGTCTGTGATTTTTGTAGGAATAACAGGAGAGGGTGGACCCGGTCCGTGTGTGTGTGTGTGTGTGTGTGTGTGTGTGTGTGTGTGTG